CTTTGTAGCATCTCAGCTGTGTCTGTCTATTCATTCCTGTCTGTCTTTCTAGATCCTAAAGATGTCTGATGCAGATCAGGTGCTGCCAAGGAGGCCTGTTTTAGTTCCTTCCTCTGACCACCCAGAACTGAAATCTTCAGAATCCCAAGAAAATAAAGCCATGGGGAAGAAGAAGAAGCGAGCTCTAGCCAGCAACACCAGCTTCTTCTCTGGCTGCTCTCCTATCCAAGAAGAGTCCCACTAAGGCTGTGTCATCATCTCTTTCTTCTGTCTGCCATGGACACACTCTCAGGCTGCAGCTCAGAGAGAAAGGGCGCTAATGACTTCTGTAGTTATAGGTCTTGCTATCGAGAGAAGAAGAAAAGTGTCACTGAAAGAAAGAGGACCTTTGCTGAATGTTGGCCTTTACTGTCTAAGCCCTCCAACCCCAAACAACTACTTCTCCAAAAGGTGCTAAGCCATCTATCGGAGAGAACCAACTGACCCTCCTGGTGACTCATAAGGCACCAGTCCTCAGCACAGTCTAGCTCTTTCTTTGTGAGCAGTTGAATTGTCTCCTCATGGAGCTGAGGCCAAGATGTTCCTCTCTTATGGGCATAGCAACTTAATGGAGAAGCCTCATGCAGGATTTAAACCTGGCCCAACTCCCTCTCTGCATCTCAGGAATGGGGCTGGGAGTTTTCTTGCTCCAATCCAACTCTGGATTTTAACAGAACTTTTGGATGTCTGTCATGTTACTGAAGTGAATGAAACATTTTTAAATGTTAAGAAAATAAATAAACCTTAGCTCATCTACTTTCTAAAGGAGATCCTTCTTTGCTAGAGAAAGAAATAAAATTCCAACCTGTTTTCCTCAGCCCCCTGGGAAAAGTATTAAGGAGATCCATTACAATTTCCCCACAAGTCCGAATACTTCCTTTTTCTGGGAAGGCTGCCTAGCTTTTTGTTTGTTTGGTGTTTTGTTTTGTTTACGGGGATAGGGATTGACACGGGGCTTTGGACATGCCAGGCAAACATTCTGTCACTGAACTACACCCTGACCCAGCTTCCTCCCCTTCCCTAGAGACTGGTGTAGAGCATGTGTTGCATCTCTGCTGCTATGCTGCTCTAAGAAGTAGGAATGACATTGGCAAAGCTGGTGTCTCCTCATTTAGTGAGCATCCCCATCACCACATTCCTGCCATAATTGTATTTGCTTCTCACAAAAAAATGTTCAAGGTCCATAGGAGCCTGTACTTTACATATGAGAAAATAGAGTGTCAGCTTTACCGTACTAGAGCAAATGCCTGAGATAATGAGTTCATGGAGAGAATGGGTTTATTTTAGTTCACAGTTTTGGAGGTCCTATGCCATGGTTTTCACCCATATCAGATCATGACAGAAGCTCACCTCATGGCCAGGATGGAAAAACTAGTGGAAGGATCTGGGTCCCAACACCCCTTCAGGAGCATACCCTGAAGTATACTAAAAACATTGCACAAGAACATACCTCAACCTGCCAAATGGCACCACAGGCCAGAGAACAAACGTTGAACACCTGGGCCTTTGGGAGACACTGATTGTCTAACACACAGGTAGTACCTGAGGTACAAAGAAGTAGTCAATATAGTTACAATGTCCGTGAGGAACAACATGATAAATGTTTATCAGATGACTCTTCCCTAATGCCCTGCAATCTGATTAATGGGTGGCACCATGCCTTTTTGGTTACAAAGCAAAATTACTGGCCCCTTGCTTTCTCCCTTGAAAGGGGAGAGGAGGGACAAGGCTTACTTTTTAACCATACATCAGATTTCTCATCTCCAATTAAAACCTAGAAGGGGGTAGGGCAGGCTGACAGTGTTACATCCAGGCTGGATTTGAAGCCTTTTAGGAGTTTGCAAACCTTGAGATTCATATCGATGTATATTGAATTCTATTCTGTCCCTCCACCCCCTCTGCTCCTAAAACACTCACAAACCATCCTCACATACAAGAAACGCAAGATTCTAGAATCCAACACAACCCAAGCAAAGAAAGGAAATTGAAAAACAACCTGCCAAGAATGACTCCCAATGGAGGACTAGGTGACCCGCTGGCCCTCCCTGGCTTCCTGCCAGCAAACAGCCTTGCTTCTCTTTGCATTTTAATTCTGAGAGAATTAGGGAATCTCTGTCATTGCCAACTAGAGCCTCTGGATACAATGGGAAAGCTGAGAGGGAGGGGACCAGCTCCTGGCAGAAGAGAGCCAGCTCCTTCACTGGTTGAAATTGAGTGTGTGGAGGGGGAGGGGAAGCCAGCTTATTTGTAAAAAGTCATCCTTTTCCACCAACACCCCAACAGTGCTAATGCACAGACCCCCAAATCACTGCATCAGTCACAATCAAGAGCTGTCTGTCAGCTCCTCTAAGCTCACAGGCAGTTCTATGCTTTATGCTAAGCTGACCACAACTTGCTAGACCACCTCTTGATGCTGAAGTAACTGCTGCTTTTGTACACGTTCATCTTCCAAAAGCCTTGTAAACCTATACAGTCCTGAAGCAAGCGAGTCATGAAATGATTCAATGTTCAGGTAAACAAGGCAGCAAGCCCGATATCCTGAACAAGCATCCCATGTGCGGTGTCGTGAGGGCTGTTGAATGCATCCACAGGGACCACTAGTCCAGAAACGGCAACTTGCTGCCCAGAGTTCATAAAATCACTTCAAGAGTATCTCATAGATGGGCCTTACAAATAGCCCAAGAGGAAAGGGAAGCTAATGATTGGAAGTTGTACTCCTAGGAAGCTTGAAGTTAGTCTTCCTCAGATGCTCAAGAGTTTCCAGGGGACTGGCAGGGCCCCTTCTCCTCACTGCCAAGATGCAAAGTTGTGTGCTCACCTCCCCCAGCTTCCCTCCCGCCTATGCCCTCAGCCCTCTCCTCCTAGAACCAGGACAAAGCCCTCTGGCAGTGACTGGGAGGGGAACAGGAGGAGGGACAGAGGGATGGGGAAGGCTGCACAAAGGAATTCCTCACACCAAGCCCCCTGACCGCAAGCTCCAGCGTGTAAAAAAGCCGACCTCCTTTCCCGCTCCCTCGCGCCTGTCTTCCCACCGCGACTGGGCTCCTCCTGCCACAGAGCTGCTGCAGACCTTCCAAGAGGACCCACGCTTCTTCCTGTAGGTGGCAACAGTGACACCTGTTTGATCAGTGAGGTCGAGCCGAGGACTGCAAGAGGGAGGAGGCTGACTACTCGGAGAAGAGCTGGGAAGCAGACCTGCACGCTCCCGAGTAAAAGGTGTGAGGGCTCGGGAAGGCTGGGAACAACCGGTGGGAGCCGGGAAGTGAAGACCTGCTCAACCCGGCAGGGATAGAGTCCAGCGGGTAAGGCAGCGCCCCTGTCAAATTCCCTGCTCCGGGTCTTTCATATCCTGATCCCATCTTCCAAGCAGCTCTGGAGGGAGGTAGACTGGGAGTCTGGGGTGCAGGGGTACGACTCTAGGTGCTCAGGACAGGCTACTGAAGCCCAGTTCCAGGATGGGAAGAAGCAAGGGCCTCCCTTTGGGTTGACTACAATCTGGGAAGGAGCCCACAAGGTAAAGGTTTTCTCCTTCCCCGGGCCTCACCCCTCCACTCCCTAGACAGACCCTCCTTTCCCAGTTTCAAGAGCAGACTTGCCTTTCCTCCTTGCAGGAGCCCCCACTGTGTACCCCTTAAAACTCTTGGAGTGGATGAGGGGGCCCTGTCCCTTTGTACGGGGCAAGTCTTGTTAGACAAGACAGACAGACTATCCAGGGGCTCCTTTACGTTTCCAGTCATTTTGAAACCCATTTGTACTGGCAGCCACTAGTGCACACATGTACAAATGCTGCCACATTGCACACAATCAATCGCACCCTGCTTACACTAGTGGTTGAGTAGTAGAATTCTCACCTGCTACAAATCTTCTCACGTAGAATCACAGTCACAAGCCCAGCCCCAGTTTGTGAATCAACTTAGTCTTAGCCATAGTCAGAACCACAGGGACAGGAATACCCTGCTCCAAGACAACTCCCCTGCCCCCACCACCACCCTTACACACACACACACACACACACACACACACACACACACACACACACACACACACACACACACACACACACACACACACGCATACTCAATGCAGGCACGCACATATGCACCTTTGCCCTATGTGTGTACTATACTTTCACTAAGGATGACTGAGAGGGTGGGGCCCCTGGGAGGAGGAAGATGAGAGCTGGGTTTCTATTTGGGGTGGACAGTGACTTACATGATGACAGTGAGGAAAGAACAAGGCTAGAGTGCAGGCACTTGGATTTTCTGGACTGTGCAGGCAGGAAAGGAGCTCCTTTAGAAGCTTGAGTGGAAGGGATCCAGGCAACCAGCTCCCCTCCAGTCTTCCTCTTATTAGCAGTGCCCCCAGCCCCTGGGAAGTGGACACAGAGAATCTTTCAGTCAGGGCTTTGTGATTTGCACAATCTCTGTATCCATAGCAACTAGTCAACTTGCTATGCCTCCCTTAGCCCAGGGTCAGAATGGAAACCTCTGCTTCAGGTTATTCTTGCTTCCTGGGGTGGAAGGCAGCACTGGGCTGCCTCAAGCTCAGTCAGGTCTGCCTTAACTTGATGAACTGACTTTGCCCCACCCTGGGGCAGTTTCTTCTAAGTTACTCTGGGCAGGCAGTCCAACCCCAGATCTAGATGTCATTAAACAGGAAGGAGCTGGAGAGACTGGGTACACATTATGCTGCAAACAGGCTGGACCACTGACTTCCCAGGTATCAAAAATCAGGGCCAATGGACGACTCCAAAACAGTGCCTCTTTTCCAGGCTTGCGGCCAGTCACCTCATCAAATGCAGGGCTCTGGGTCTGCCCTGTGGCAACAAACCCTGTTGCTGAGTAGCAGCCCAAGCATCTGCCTACCTGCCCCAGGCTCCTCCGATAAATGGGAAGGGAGGCTGAGATCTGTCCTCTCTCAGGGTTCCCTGATGGTCGTGTCCCTTCTCCCAGGCCTTCACCATGGCCCAGTCTCCTGGCTGCTGCTCCATCTGGGCCCACTGCCTCTATAGCTGTCACTGGAGGAAATGTCCCAAGCAAAGGATGCAGACCAGCAAGGTGGAGTAGGGATGGGGGACAGGCCTCGGGATAGAAGACAAAGGCTGCTTGGAGGGAATATGGAGACTGATTGTATGCCTAGGCAGCTGGGAGGAAGGGGCTCTCTCTCCCCTGGAAGAAAAATCTCCCTCAAAGACAGGAAGAGCAACTCAGTGTAGGGCAGGAAGCTGAGCTGCCTTCCTTGGGGCCTCTGAGCATGAAATGGAGATCAGCTGAGTGCTTCTCTCCTGCCCCTCCGCAGTGCGACTGCATCTGGTTCGGCCTGCTCTTCCTCACCTTCCTCCTGTCCCTGGGCTGGCTGTACATCGGGCTCGTCCTTCTCAATGATCTGCACAACTTCAATGAGTGTGTCACATACCACCCACCCCATCCTCCACAAACCTGCCAACCTACTTCCTACCCCATGCTCAGCCCCTACTATCAGTCATCTCCAGCTCTACATGGCCCCTGAATCCCAGCATTCCTAACCTCCTTAGAAAATTCCCCCAAGAAACCTCCCCAATCCCTGGAGACCTTGGCCATATGAAGCCTCACTCCCATCTAGTTATTTTCCTGGATCTAGCCACCTCAACTCCCAACTCCCTTCAGGTCACCTCCTCCCCTTGAACACCTTTCTTTACCCTCTACAGATTCCTGTTCCGCCACTGGGGACACTGGATGGACTGGTCCCTGGTAGTCCTGCTGGTCATCTCTCTGCTGGTCACATATGCATCTTTGCTATTGGTTGGTCCAGGGATATCTGGCCTAACTCCCACATAAACCTTTCATTCTGGCTCAGGTCTACCGTCTTGTTCTCATCCTAGCCACTGAGGGGAAGACGATAATTCTTGGGTGGGAAGGAGATGCCAGCCTGCAAATCCCCACTCAGTGAACTTGCCTTCTCCTGGAGCCTCCTAAGTGCCCCTACCTTCTGTTCCCAGCTCCTGGGCCTGCTTTTGCAGCTCTGTGGACAGCCTCTACATCTTCACAGTCTCCACAAGGTACAATGAAATGGCAGTGAGGCAGAAGGGATGTCAGGTCCAACGCTCTGATGGCTATTTGCTTGAGGACTTCACTTTTCTATCCCTGGGGTCTGGGCCAGGACCTGAAATCCAGCACATATTTACTGAGTGAAAGGATGGTGGATATATTCAGGAAGGGAGGGAATCTTGTATCAACAGAATGAGGAGGTAGCATAGGTAACCGTGGGCCTAGGCTGACAAGGAAGGCCCCATTCATCCATCCCTTGCCCCAGGTGCTACTGCTCTTCATTCTGCTTCTGGTAACCACGGGCCTGGTGGGACTGGATATCCAATGGCGGCAGGAGTGGCATAGTTTACGACTATCACTGCAGGTGAGTGACTGATCTCCCACTGTCTAGGTGGGAGTCTTGGCCCATGGCCAATTCTGGAACATTACATTGCCCCTGGTCCTATGAGACTGCAGGTCTCTCAGAACTCCAAAAGCTCACCCCTAAGGGGGGAGGAACAATAGGAAGAAGACTCTTCCTCACCAGCTGTTATCCACAGGCCACAGCCCCATTCCTTCACATTGGAGCAGTTGCTGGAATCACCTTCCTGGCCTGGCCTGTGGCTGATTCCTTCTACCGTATCCATCCAAGAGGTGCCAACTTCAGCCCATACTCATCCCCACTGGACATCAGTGTCTCTTCCTCCCACTGCGCATTCGGTTTCATATACCTGAGCTCTGCCCTCTGCCCCTAGAGCTGCACCTCACTTTTTGCCTTTCCCCAAAGCCTGTCCTCCACTTTCTACAGGCCCCAAGATTCTACTACTGTTCCTATTTTTTGGAGTCACTCTGGCCATCTACCTGGCCCCCATATTCATCTCCTCCCCATGCATCATGCAACTCAGAGACTTACCCCCCAAGCCTGGGCTGGTGGGACACCGAGGGGCCCCCATGGTGAGTGACAGGCAGAAGCCTGGGCAAGTAAGGGAGAATCTGCTGGCTACATCCTCATTGACTACCTTTTCCCAGCTGGCCCCTGAGAATACCCTGATGTCCCTGCGGAAGACAGCTGAATGTGGCGCTGCTGTGTTTGAGACAGATGTGATGGTCAGGTGATGCAGGATGGAGCCCAGAGGGCTGGTGGGCTGAGGGACACAGTGGAGGCACTCAGGAAAAGATGGCCGCTCCAGAGCTTGATCCCCTGACACTCATTGTGCCCTCAGCTCTGACGGAGTCCCCTTTCTCATGCATGACGAGCGGCTGCTCAGGACTACCGATGTAGCCTCTGTGTTTCCAGAGCGAATCTCAGCTCACAGCAGTGACTTCTCCTGGGCTGAACTGCAGAGACTCAATGCTGGATCCTGGTTCCTAGAGGTGAGGATGCCAGCTAAAAAGAGGCCACCACCTCGGTGGCACTCAGGGCAAAGTTCCTTACAGCAATGTGTACTTGCTGCGCCCTGTGCTGGTCAGTGAGAGCAGTCTCCACCTTAGTGTCACTCCCACATAGTAAGGAGAGCATGAGCAAGAGACAATTGGAATCGGAAATAGAGCAATAAAATACTTCTCCCGGGCAGACGGGAGTGAGGTCCACTGTTTCACAAAGCAAGAATGGGGAACTAGTTCTGCAGTGCTAGGATGGGGCCCGGGGTCTTGACTAAGCAAACACTTTACCACTGCCATACACGCCAAACCCTTGCTTGGGACATGGAGTTCTAGTTTGAGGTAAGAGCATGAGAAGTGGCCAGAAATACAAGTAGGTTTCTGGAGAACAAAAAAAGTAGTTCAGTGGAACTGGTAGATTCAATTCATGGGAGTGGTGGGAGGCAAGGGCTTGAGCTTAAAGACTTTTGAAGGTTGGACATTGAATTGTTGAATTCAATCCTCTAGGCAGTGAAAAATATTTAAAAGTGTACTTTAATTTTGTGGTACCTCTTTTCCTGATTGCAAAAGTGATATTTGTTCCTGGTAAAAAAAAATCAGAAAAATAATTTATGAATTAGAATGTCCCATAATCCAACAGTGTAAAATATACTGATAATATGTGTATGTGTTTTTTTTAAAAAAAGATAAGATCACAACACAGACTTGCAGTTTTCTTCTTTTATAAATTTACGTCTATATCTAATGGCATAGCAGAGTAATTAAGAACCAAGAATGTCTATATTTGAACTTTGGCTTTAGTACTCCTTGGCTATGGTGACTCAGGCCAATGATCCTTAGCCAATCTGTATCTCAGTTTCCTCATTTGTATAGCAGGAATAATAATTGTAGTACTTCCTTTCTAGGACTCTCGGACAGTCAGTTCATATATGCAAAGTACCCTACACAGAGCAAATATTAACTGTTATCCAGATTTGTCTATGTCAGCATTTGAGGTCATTAGTTGATATTAAGGGAAGGCAGGCAGAATGGCAGGGGCTTGGAACAACCCCAAGGAAAATGGGAGAAAAGGCCAATCAAGGGCAAGTGAAAGGTTTGTCAAGCAACAGTGAGCAAAACCAAGAAATACAACCCAAGAGTCCCCATGCTGTGGTCAGAGTTTAGAGGGTGTACCAAGGGTGGAAAGGAGTCTCTTGAGAGCACCTTGGAAAGTACTTCAAGCTGAGACGGTATTATATAGATGGGGATGCGGGTGCAACAAGAAAGGAGCCAAAGGACCAGGAGGAAAGCAAAGGCTCAAGATCACAGAAGTCTCTATGAGACTGAAGAGATGATGTAGTGGGAGAAAAGAAGTTACAAACCTGGAGGAGTAAGAAGCTGAGGCCATAGGGTAAGATTAGATGGAAGAAAGTGAAAGAAAGACCTTGGCTCAGAGCTGGGCAGAATCTGGACACACTTAGTAAGCTTGAGAACAGCTATCTGGGTGCGGTGGCTCACACCTTTAATCCCAGATCTTGGGAAGTAGAGGTAGGCAGCTCACTGTGAGTTCAAAGCCACCATGCTTTACATCGCTACATAGCAAATCCCAGTCCAGCCAGGATTACGTAGTGAGACCCTGTCTCAAAATGAATGAATGAATGAATGAACGAATGAATGAACGAACGAACGAACGGGAGAAAACCTAGAGGCTTCTTGTGATGCTGAAATAATTTCCCTCTCTTTTAGAGGCAACCCTTCTGGGGGGCCAAAGAGCTGTCAGGCTCTGATCGGAAGGAGGCTGAGAATCAGACAGTACCAGCATTAGAAGAACTACTTAAGGAAGCAGCAGCCCTCAACCTCTCCATCATGTTTGACTTGCGCAGACCCCCAAGAAACCACACATACTATGACACTTTTGTGAATCAGACATTGGAGGCTGTGCTGAATGCAAGCGTGCCCCAAGCCATGGTGATGTTGTCCAGGGCTCCCAAAGCCCCCTTTTTGCCCCTCTTCCCACCCTACCTTCCTTAGGCCATGATGATTTCAAGGCTGCCTCCTGCCCTCCACTCTCCTACCCCAGCTCACATACCCCACTGTGTGGCCAAACGCCTCTATGCCTGTCCCTGGCACCCCTAGGACTTCCTCAGCTGCATACTCATCTTCCCTGGTCCATAGGTTCTTTGGCTCCCGGATGAAGACCGTGCTAGTGTGCAACAGCGGGCTCCCAGAATGCGCCAGATCTATGGACAGCAGAGTGGCAACTGGACTGAGAGTCCCCAGTTTCTCAACCTCCCCTACCAAGACCTGCCAGTGTTAGATATCAAGTGAGTGCCAGAGGCAAGGGATAAAGGGGACCCCAAAGTTGAGTGTCAGGAAAGAACCAATGCAGGGGGTGCAAAAGCTATTGATTCATTCGTTCTCACAATGGATACCTATTGGATGATTGTTATATATCATGTAGCATTTTTTGTAGGCTTAAAGAAATAAATGTGAATAAGATGAGAAAGGTCCTGGCCTTCATAGAATTTAGGAACTAGCAAAATATATAGACAATAAATTGCCTAAAATACATTCATGTTGGGTAGTGATATTAATAAAACATGATACAGTAGTGATTTGGGTAAGGAACCAGGGAAGTGACATTAGGAAGCACTGAAAAGGTGATGACCGAGCTGAGTGCCAGATGATTGCTAGGAGCTAACTATGGGAAAAAACCAGAAGAGGCAAGGAGAGAATAAAGAGCAAGAAAACGGGAGGAGGAGGTGGATCGATAGACAGGGACATAACTGGATAGGGCTTTGGAGGACATGAGAAAGATTTTAGTATTAGTCTACATCACAGAGATCTGTATAAGAAGATGGATCCAGGGCAGAGAGTCTCAGACATGAGCTGGGCAAATTCCGGACGGGCCCTCGTTTCTCTCCCACTTCCACAGGACACTGCACCAGAATAATGTCTCAGTGAACCTGTTTGTAGTGAATAAGCCCTGGCTCTTCTCCCTGCTCTGGTGTGCAGGGGTCGATTCAGTCACCACCAACGACTGCCGGCTGCTGCAGCAGATGCATTACCCGCTCTGGCTTATTGTAAGGGCTCAAGAACTGTCATTTCCCACCTCTGGATCTCCTTAAATCTTTCCTCTTCCATACTTATTTACCCCTACTCTTATTTACCTACTCTTGGGGGCTCTGGCCACTGATGCGCCTTTTCCATCCCCATAGCCCCCTCCAATTTACTTAATGATATGGATCACCACCAACGGTGTCTCCTTTCTGCTGCTCTTGGGTGTCTTCCTCCTCCGAGGGTGAGTGTTTGTGCCTTGGTCTCCCGGGTCATCACTTTCCCCAGACCCCAGGTAATAAGGTTGATTCTAATTCAGATGCGTTGCCCAGGATTGGGATTTAGTCTGGTCTGATTGATTTTTGAGCTTCCTTATACCAATAAATTGGCTTGACCCTGGGGAAAGCAGTTTGGAGAACCCCTGGGTTGGAAGGTCTTGCAACAAGTTGGTGAACTAGCAATAGAAAGACTTTCTCTCTACAGGAGATGTGCTGAGAGAAACAGAACCGGTAAGAATGTACCTTTCACTTCTCATTGTCTCCTCCGAATTTCCCCTTGCATCGCTCCCTACGTGACCCACCTCTTCTCCACTTCCCTAGGCCTAGAAGCAGCAGTGCTACTGACCAAGATCAACAACGTTATCTCGGATTGAATGCCGAACCCGTGCCCCCATCAGCTGCAGTCTAAGGCCCGTGTGCACTGGCCAAAGGGAAGGAAAGGAAGTAAAAAGTGGAATGTCCTGGAATAAAATGTTTGGAGGAGGGAGCATTGCTAAGAGAAGCATTTGAACTAAGAGGGCCCTCAGTCCAGATGGTGGGCATGTCTCAAGCTGCCATGGAATTTGCTGCCTTTGGTATTTTGGCATGTATTAGTTGCAAAGACAGTGAGTGACAAGAAGTTACTCCCAAAATGAGATTAAAACAAGGAACTGAGAGAGATTGCCAAGATAATGCCTTGAGCCTGTGTGTACATGCACTTGGGTAGAAGACGCAGGGTGTGTCAGGGTGGGATAGCTTGGAATGATGAGTGCAGGAAATTTGGCAAAATGGCCTTTCCTGGAGAACTTTAAGATGACGAACACAGTCCCCACTCCATGCCCTTTCTCTCCTCCCTCTAACAATTTAGCTTCTTTCCTGCCTACAGGTTGGGAGCTAAGACGCTCATTTAACAATGCAATTCTGTCCCTATGGCGGCTTTTTGTTGTGAGCAGTGAATGGTTCCTGTTTCCTGTCTGTTAATCTGTTAGTCAATGAAGTTTTAATTGTCATTTGGTCACAGTCTAATCATTTCAGTGCTGGGGCTGGAAGGATGTGCATTCCATCTGGAACTGAACGTAAAATGACATTGAGAGGTCATCATCATGGGGAGAATTGCGGGCAGGAGGTGGAAGGACTAACTCCACCCGCCTCCCAGCAGGCTGAAGATTAGCGGCTATGGCCTCTGTCCAGGTGGCCCAGCTCTGTGCAGAGTTGCGTTCTAGCTCCACCTGGTGGTCACTCTCCCCGCCGAGAGGGCTGGATCCCTCGCCACTGTGACGTACTTGATGAATGCCACCAGTTTTCCTTGCGTGTTCGGGGACTTGTGTCCTTGACTTCAGACTCTGAGGGCAAGGTCTGATTTCCACTTTCTTTTTTCTTTTTTATTCTCTGGGATTCACAAACGGTCTGGTCCTAGCTAGCCTTCCCCTTGAGGAGCAAATTCCTCAATATGTTGCTGCTCATAAGGCTAGAAGCTGAGGTGGCCAGTGCAGAGTTAACCTGGCCGGTGGTGAGGCAGATAAAAAAGGATTGGAAAGCTAAGGTAAAAACTAGGACAAGATGGGCTCTGTCAGGCTGACCCTGCAATCCTCCATTATACTGCCATTTATCCTGGTTCATGCCTCCATTCAAAGGCCAGTCAAATTAAGATTTTGGTCTGGATAGGAAAAGGTCCTCGATTCTTTCTCTCCTGCCAGATCAAGACCTGGAGCAGCACTAGCCTCTCGGGCCAAGACCCCTACCTCCTGGGTCCCTCACCCCTTGGTTACCGGCAGCCATGGGAACTACAATTCCCAGTGTGCCTCTGAGCACTTACTGTCTTCAGTGGATGGAGGCGAGTTTGAAT